CTTAAGAGGAATGGGTTAACAGCAAGAACACAAAGGTATTCCTTAACAACAGGTAATAAATTAGACCAAGGCAGGTTCAGCATCAGTGTATCAAACATGGGTGCATTTGGAAAGAGCCCTCTGTGAGTTCACACACCCCTTACCTGACTAGTCGTTGTCTTTGATTATATAAAAGTAAACATGCCTATATCTTGCTTTCCAGCTCAGTGTGTTATCTGATAGTTTAATGCCGTTTTATCCAAATAAGCTCTTAACATTTTTCATTTGTTTATGACAGATACTGCATTTTGGGTTTTAAAACATACTTGATTACAGTGTGTGATTAGGTCAAAGCTTTTGAAGAGAGCAATTATCTTAAACCGAATTTTCAATGTCTTCACTAAATTTTTGCATCAGGGTAATATCTATCTCCCGGTGTTGACTTTCAATAATTTTCTGAAGGGCTATCTTAGCAATAATAATGTTGACATTCTCCTTAAACAAATGTGGTGTGTGTGTATATAAAAGATGGCGTATTTCATCTGCTCCTGCTTCCTCAGTCGTGCTGTGAACCACGGCGGGACGAAGCGTGAGTGGAAGTTAACTAATGGACACTCATAATTTAGGCAGCAAAAACCAGAATTAATGTATTATCCCTCTGTAGCTTCGCGTACTTGGCCAACCCAAACTTGCTTTCTTAGAGAAATACGTGATTGAGACAATTCCCATCTGCTTTCGACAGACACAGGGGAAGATTCCCACAAGTGACTTTGTTAAAAGCTCTTCTTAAGGACTATAAAGTGGTCATGATTCCGGGGCTTTATTTCATCAAAACAATTTTTGGTGATAAGAATAAAGGATGAAGAAAAGAAGAAAGAAATAAAGAAAGGAAGGAAGGAAGGAAGGAAGGAAGGAAGAAAGAAAGAAAGAAAGAAAGAAAGAAAACCCATTGTATGATACCAGTGTTTTGTAGCCAGAGCAGCAACTTCCAAGATATTATAAAATGATAAAAATAGAAATAGATGTTTAAGACAATGGGTGGCCATGCTGATCATGATTCATCTAAATTTCTTCGGTGTGAAGTGGAGACTTTCATTTAAAAAGATATATTACAAGATGTGTGAAAAAAAAAACTAAGGGAAATTAAGTAGGAAGGATTTTTTACACCTCTCTCCCACAAAAGATCACAACAAGGCCTCCAGAGAGCGGAGCCCCTCAGCCTTGCCTGGAAGACATTGCCTCTGGGGCTGCCTAGAGAGTCTGCTAAGCAGCTGGCGCAGGACGTCCTGTCCTAAATGCTCTTCCAGAGAGAAACACACCTTCCAGGGCTCGGCGGTGTCCCGCGCCTTTCTCCCCATGCAGGGCCTAGCACTCACTGCTTCCTCACCTCCCCCGCCACACCATGCTCAGACCTGTTACCCCACTGGATCCCTTGCGGTTGCTTGCTGCAGCGCGGTCAAGACCCCTCTGTGTCTTTCCAAGTTCAAGACTGGCAAGCTAGGCGCCCAACTCTAGATAAGATTCACCTGCCTGCCTGCATCATTCGACTCCATGTCGCTGTATTCACCCAGGCCTGGGTGCTTGGGATCTCCTGCGCTCCTGGCGCCCAGCAATTTGCTCCTTATGGCTGTGACCCTGGAGCCTCAGCGCAGGACAGAAACCTTCCTGCCTTCCCAGGTAAACTCCGTGGCGACACCGGCCGGCATCATTGTACCTAATGAGCGGGCTAAGTAGGGCTTGAACGCTCTAGCATCCGAGGCGAGGGCCGAAACTACAGTCAAAAAGAGCTGGTTGCCTGCACCACGCGTGGACTCTGGCGCCGCAGAATAAGCGCGAAGCAACAAGTGGGCCACAACCCAGAGGGCATAGCATCTCCCGGCCTCTGCTGGCCTGAAGAAGACGTTTTGACAGCTGCTCCCCACAGGGTCACCCACAGACACCCAACCCCAAAAAATGGGAACTGTGACTATTTGTCCAAGAAGTATATTAGGACCCTGCTAAGGAGCCGCTAGCCGGAGGGTTCCAAACTGATGCCCCTGGCAAAAGGCCTCGGAGGTGCCTCTGGGACAGAGGAATTTTCCCATCTCCCGCCAATCTTTGCAGGAGAAACTCAACCCTTCCGGAGTGGTGGCCTGAGGGATCTCTACGATGAAGGATGCTCTGGCCCGCCCGCCCACCAACCCGTGCATAGTGAGTACTCGTCACACTCAGCACCTACCCTGGCGTGCGGGTCCGGAGGTGGGTGGCGCGGCGCTAGTGGGAGGCGGACATGGACCACGCTCCCTCCATGCGCCACACGGAGAAGGCGTAGCTGAGACGCTCGTGAGCCACGTAGCTGCAGCTGGTCATCTTATTGTCCATCTCGTCGCTCTGCAGAACCTGGTAGAGGAAGTCTATGTACCTGGCGGCCAGCTTGAGCGTCTGGATCTTGCTGAGCTTGTCAGAGGGGAGCGTGGGGATGATCTTGCGCAGCGCGGCGAAGGCCTCGTTGAGCGACTGGGTGCGCTGACGCTCGCGCACGTTGGCCAGGATGCGCTGGCTCTGCAACTCCTCGAAGGACTGCGCGCTCGGACTGCCCTTCTTGCCGCGCTTGCCTGGGGTCGGGCTGCCATCTTCGCTTGACTTCTTGCTGTAGCGCCGCTTCCGGCCGAAGCGCTTGGGCTGCCGCTCCAGCTCTTCCTCGCTGGTGCCCAGACTGTCCACGGGGGACACAGGCGAGCTGGAACCCTCCTCCATGGCGCCCGCCCGGCGCGCGTGGGGCTGGGGGGCGCCGAGCGCACGCCACTGGCCAAGCCCGCGACCGCGGAGCACAGGCTCCTGGGTCGCCTGCAAAGTCTCTAATTTCGAGGCCGGCTTGTGCAAAACCGAGGTCTCCGGGAGAGGAAGTTATTCTAACTTTTTTGGAAACTCTATCCCGGCTGGGTTGCTAAATAGCTGTCAGGAACGAGGGCGGCGCGCTGATTGGCCACGGTGGCCAGGGGCAGGACAAGTTCTGGGGCCTTCGCCGGCCGCCCCCCCCCCCCCCAGGGGGGGGGGGGCGGCACTTTCAGTTTTGTCTCCTCTTTTTCGGCCCTGACTATGGCCGGCATCTCGGAAACCGGGTCCGAGCGTGCTGCCTGCTCTGCTACTTAAGCCGCGGGCCGCTAATCAGCGGTGTTGATCCTAGACTCAACCCGCCCTGGCTTTGTCTGAGCCTCGTGGAGCAGATTTGGTCTCTGCCAGGGTTCAGGATCTCCACGAGAGGTGGAGGAGGCGAGTCCAAGCCCAGATGTGCTCCGTGGACCAAGGACGCAGCTGGGAGCCTCTTGGGGCGCGCACTGAGACCTCACCGTCAGCAACGCGATCCTGCCCGCAGTGAGTGGAGCTGTGCAAGCAAGCTGAGAGCCACGACCCCGGGCAGGGCAGACACTTTCGTGTTGGCAGAGATATCCACCTCCACAGTCTCGCCTCTAAGATCCATAGAGACGCCGCCCCTCTCGGACCAGGATGCGAGTTGGAGGATCCTTTTTAATTTCGACCTTCTGGGTGAACTTCGATTTGGACACCTTTTCGGAACCTATCTCTAAATGCCTTAAGCCTAGGTACCACAGCGAGCCTCTGCGGGAGCGCCGGGTGCCTGCCACGCCCGCCTGCCTGGCCCTGCCCTGAGTGCTGGGTCCGGGTTTAGGGCTCAGCCTCAGCCTCTGCACTCTGCTTCGTTTGCAGGCGGGTGGTGAACCCAGAACACGGAGAATAGGGAGAGGCAGGCCCTTCCTGAAGTCCCCTGCTCTGGGCACTGGTGGGTAGCTTCGGCAGGAGGGCTCCAGGATGCAGAACATTGGGCCAGGCCTTGGTGAACAGACATCACCGACCCCGGCCCTTTGCCATCTGGACGCTCAGCGCCAGCGCGTTTGAAGTGCTTGGGGTCTCTTTGTTTGCCAGGCCGCTCTAGCTGGGGCCTGGAGGTGGTTTACAGCTTCCTTGCCTTTGAACCTATTCCCAGGTGACCCGGGCTCAACTAGGCCGGTCTTGAGCATGGCTGTCAGAGCAGCCCTGTGATCAAGGGCTGGCTAGGTCTTATTGAAGTTGAACCTGGGGCCAGAGACTCCTCAGCATCAGCAGCTCCTGGGGGAAGGAGGGAGGACCACGAGGTGGGGCCCGCGGGCTGAGACCACTGTCTTGGGAAGCTGGAAGGGCTGTGTATGGCACCTCTTGTCCTCTCACCGAAGACCTGGTTCTCTGATCTTGGGGACATCCAGCGCCCACCACCAGCAGCACCGGGAACAATGCTCCATGGCGAGCAGGCCCACTCGCAGAGGACAGTCACCGAGCTACATGTAGTTCCCTAAATGCTCTCTGTCTTCAGGAGGCTAATTAAAGTTTTAGTCACTGTGTGCAGCCTGACCCAGGCTGAGTGCCTTCTGTCCTGCCTTCTGGGAAGACCACATTTTATTCAATACCCCAAAGTAGCCTGCTTTCTTCTTTTAAAAATTCACAACTAATTTTAGGAGCAAAAGAGGTTCCTGCCTGTCTGGGGTGGCTTTTCTGGAGACTTCCGGGTTAAAGGGTACAGACAAACTAGGTCAATTTTGCCACCCTATATCACTCAGGGTGAGGAGTTCCCCTTCCACACCACCCCCAGCCCGGACCCTCTTTAAAGTCTGGCTTAAATAAATCAGGTGGTTTTGTCCATTCCCTAAAACCAAAGGGTGTTTTCCTGACAGAAGCCTTCCAGTGTCCAGCCCAGTCCCCTCCCCCTATTTGTGTCTGTGTGTTTCTCTTTCTCACTCTGTCTTCTCCTCTCCCCTCCTCCCTTCCTCCTGGAGGCAGAGGTCATAGCTGAGGAGGAAGGGAGAAGCCTCCTCACAGGTCTCAAGCCGCCCAGGTCTCAGTTCAGCCTGAGGATGAGGGGTGGGGACATTGTATGGAACATAGAGCTGCCACTAAAGATGGGGGTTCCCTTTTACTAGGACAGTTTACCACTAGGGCAATGGTTCTCAATCTTCCCAATACAGTCCTTCATGTTGTGGTGACCCCCAATCACAAACTTACTGCGCTGCTACTTTGTAGTTGTAATTTTGCTACTGTTACGAATTGTAATGTAAATATCTGATGTGCGACCCCCCAAAGGGCTCCCGACCCACAGTTTGAGAAACGCTGACCCAGGAGCTAAGCATTTCGTCCAAGGCCTGGGTGGTTCAGCCTTTTGTGGATTCTCAGCCAGCATCTCACTTTGGTCTTTGCTCTTCTTCAGTGTGGGGTGGTGGGGCTTTTCTATCTTAAACATTTCTAACAAATCAAAATTGTACAGAGTCGGAGACAAACCCTTGCTGGTGGAATTCGGAACACCTTTCTCTCTCAGTCATTGCTTTAGTTGAAACCTAAAAATACAAAAAAAAAAAAAATTGAGGCATAGACAATGCCAGAGTCTCTCCAGAGTCGTGAACTGGGTGACGGCAAGGTGACATTCAGCCTTCTCTTTCTCTCAAGTTGGTTAAAATAAAATGGTAATGAAAAAGGAACCGGATTGGGAAATAATATTCTGGCTATTGATATTGCCTGAATTTTTTTCCTTTTAAAAGCCACGTTTTTAATAAGGTTAATAAAACCAAAGTATTAATAACTCAGGAACAAAATGTGTTTGTGTGTGGATACCCCCCAGACCACCCAGGCTCACTCAGACATGTGTGAAATATCACGCAATAAGGGTTCATGGGCACGCATGCAGTTCTTGGTATATTTATTCATTATCGAATGTGGAAAATCATGTCAACGCTTCTTTTCATGTGTGTAAAAATGTGCGCTTTGTTTCACGGAACCTCGATTTATTAAATAAAAATATGACCTGACGTTTGGAAAGCTTCTTCTGTAGCTTTCTCTGAACTCGGTGCCCTGTTTGCACAGTGAATTTAATGGCTGCTGGCTGGGTGTTAGTGACAGTATAGAACTGTCACCTGGAGATGGTCTTCAATGCTAGGACACTATCAGGCGACCCCTAGGCTTTATTAGGATAATAAAATGTGTGCTTGATACTCAGGAAATATTTTTTACAATCCCTTAGAAACTACATAGAAAGCAATAAATATACGTTCAAACGCTACGGCTGCTACCTTTTGTTGAATCGCAGGTATAGTAAGCACACCTGTCTGCTCCTGCAGGCTCGCTGTAATAAAGCTATGAGGGATGAGATCAGACATTTAGCAGGGCTCCTGTGTATGTGCTGGTGAGCTGGTGGGCTGTCACCTCCTCTTGAGTTGAGTGAGGCAAAGCTGAAGCAGACGACAGAAGCCAGTATTCTGTCACAGGTGCAACAGACCCTGTGACATCTATCAAGAGGTTGACAATGCCCTCTTGACTCTTTCATTGTTCTGGGAAGCAGCTTGCCAGTGACTTGCACAGCAGGAGAACCCAGGTACCTTTCTTTTGTCTCAGACACAGGGCCGGTGAACATGACACTCTGTCTATGGGAGCCCTAATTCCAAGGGTGGACATTTGAGAATTGTGTCAAGCTGGTGGCCTGTCTATAAACCGTAGGAATCTTTAGATTGCTTTGCTGAATGTTAGAACTCTTTGGGGGATCATATGCTCTTGGCTTGTTGACAATACCCTGTGCCACTGTCGGTGCCCTTCCTAGATGGATTTGCGTAGTTCAGAACGCTCCCTGTGTGAGCATGTGACCAGCAGGCTGGGGAGCTGAAAAGGCATTTACTTCTCACCCTAAGATCCCAGGCTTAAGAAAGTCTCCCAGTGAATGACTGACTCCTAGGTATGAGTCTAATGTCTTCCAGAAAGAAAGCTTCAGAGCCAACCCCGTCCCCATAACAGTGGCAGCAGAGGATGAAGTCACACCTCAAAGGACTAAAACTCACACCCAAGGTACACTGTAGGTCAGAAAAATTTTATTTTTAAAACTCCTTCAGGTGGATGTGTGCTGTGACCTTATGGCATCACTGTGTTTTCTGTTACCAGGAGTTTAGTCCACTGTCAAGTCTAGAAACATCTCTGCCCTCCCTACCATACTTCTCCCATTTCTTCTTGATTTGATGCTGCCCTGGCTTGTGGAACTTAGAATCAGCTGAAACACTAGCCTCTGACAACACCTGCCCTTTCCCGAGAGGTTGAGCTGAAGAGAGAGCCTACCTTGAGTGTAGGTGGCAGCACTCGAGGGGCTGGGGTGAGACTACAGAACAGGAAAAAGTGAACCGAGCACAGCATTTATCTCTCTCTGCTTCCTGTAGGAATCAGTCAGCACCCGCCCCCACTCCAGTTGCTCCGCCTTCCTACGCCATGAGCCAATAGAAGCCCTCCTTCCCTTAAGTTGCTTCTTGCTAGGCATTCTGTCAGGATGACAAGAAAGACAATTAAGATACTGTCAGTATTCATGTTTCCAGTGATAAGATCAGCATTGTTTCTCTGTAGCCTTAATTGTAATTGTTTCACTCTTTGGGAGTCAAGGTTTCCAGAGACAAAGAAAACAGACACGGATATTATCTGGTGGTGCCCAGTCTAGTGGAACTGGGGCTCATCCTGTATTTTCTTATCAGTGGGCATCCTGGTGCTGACCCATGGAACACCTGAGATTATTGACCTTTCTGCTATCTGCAGGAATGGACCATCGGTCAAGGTCTGGAGCCAAACTTTACCACATCAGACTGGAGCATCTTTTTGTAGGGAAAGGTGGGGACAGGAATCTGTCTCAGCCTACTTGGTAATGTTAAAGGGAGAAGATTCTAGACATGGTTCCACAAGCCAGAGCAGGGCAAGATAAAAGGTCTTGGTATAATGGCCATGGATAGAAGCATATACAATATAATCAAATCCATGAATCGCAATGTCAGTCAAACACAAGTCCCAGTGCTCACCATTGGTGCTGCTAGGACGCTGGCCCACAGCTCTGGGAATGCTGGGTAAGAGGGCGGGGACAAGCATGTAGCCAGGCTTTCTTACCAAGCATGCTTCGAAGTCACTGAGCAGTCGCTGAGAAAACGGCCCGTTCTAAGGATGCTCTCAATGGGTGAGGGACCCAGCATGGTGGGGGGCACACCAGCACCATGATGCAGAGCTCTAGTGGGAGAATGGGTATGAACACTGAAGGCAGACAGAAGCAGCCCACCCCGGTATGATTAATAAGTAGACCAGCTCTCCCAGTACTGAGTTCTGGGGACCAGTTCCAGGAAATCTATGGTGAAGATGGCTGGGTATAGTGTGTCACATGGTGCTTTTGACTCTGCCCTTTCTGCACAGTTCCCAAAGGGCTCCTTGCACTTACTACTTACCAGTGGGTAAGACTGGCTGCATCTGGAGCCATGCCACTGGCTAAAGGTTGTTAAACCCCTGCACTGGAACGGTAGCTGTGGTAGGAGCTCAGGGTCTGGTATTCTTGGTTTCAGAGAGTCGAAGAGCAACTCATTCAAATATGCTTAGCGAAGTAAGAATGTATGAACTCATTTATGTGAGTGTCTTAGGCTTGTTCAGGCTTAGCTAGATTCAGAAGACTCAATGACTTTATCCCTGGCCTCTCCTCTGTGTCTCAGTGCTGCTTCCCTCTGTGTGGCGAGCTCACGTCTGAACCGAGAGGCCTGACCCTCCAAGGTGAGAACTGACTTCAGGGTTAAGGGCTGTGATTGCTCAGACAGGAGGTCGGGATGGTGTCCTGAAGGTGAGAAGGTCCTTAGGAAGAGACACTGGGCTGGTGAACAACGTGTGTAGGTTTACCACCTATGGAAAGAGGTGGGCAAGCCTCCTGAGGCTCACACAGAAACAGATACTAAGTTTAAATTTCCTGCTGGTGGCAGTGGGGAGCAAAGAGATGTCCCAAGGAAGTGATGGCCATAATTGATTGGGCTTTGAAGGCAGCTCCCAAGTAGCAAGCTATTGCAGAAGACAGCCAAGGAACAGCTGCAGGTGTGCACACTAGTGTGCCAGGGGGAGAAAAGAGAGCATGTGCACCTGTGTGTACACGTCGGGGAGAGGAATACAGCATATGCCCACACGTTTATGCATGCATATATGTGTGACTACACACATGTGTATGTTGGAGGGGAGTGTGTGTCTGTAGGTATATGCACACGTGTGTTTGCACGAGGTGTGGAGGATGAGGGACTGATTGCTCCTGGTGTGACAAGGATGCTGAAGCTTGGCTTGGATTAGAGCGAGGTCACATTCATCCTGCACAGGACAGCAACAGTATCTTTGTGGTTTGGTTTAAACTAGTTGGGACAGGAAGGCATGCAATTTACATGCTGTTTCAGCATGTAAGGAAACAAATTAACAAGGACCAGCTACAGTGTTGGCTACAGAGAAAGGCAGTCACAAGAGACTTGATTCTGCCACTGTCATTGCCTGCGATGACCTTGGATTAGTCCACTCAATGCCAGAGGGACTCAGTGTCCCCCTGCAAATGAACAGTCTAATGTGGTTAAGCAGTTTCACTCAGTCAGAAATGAAGGCACCCTCCTCATTCAGAAATGGGAACCTATTTTGGGGACCTTAAGGCATTGAGGGAACAGAGTGTGACCCTCTCTACTCTGAATATGTTCAGGGGGTTTTGGTGGCCTCACATGTCCAAACTTCATAAAGTCCTGCTCCAAGGTGGCCTGGCCATAAACGTTCCTGAAAAGGTCATTTGAATTTATCATCCCCTATATTTTATAATTACAAATTATGGCCTCTCTTTCCCATGACAATTTTGAGCTTTAGCAGACCTTAAATTAAAACTTTATACATGTTTCAAAACAGTCGTCAGAAAACGTTAAATTCACGAGTTGGAAATGTGACCCGAGCAGCCCTCACTACTAATCTGGCATGTTTAAAGCCATGAACTTGGAATTAAATTTGTGTGTTAAAACTCTGATTGTATCTCAAGTATAAAAACACACCAAAGACATTTGTAGGGGAATAGTTCTAGGCATGTGGTGAATTCCTTTTTTATGGAGGTCACCAGAACAGTGAAGCATGCCCTGCAGGCCTCTCCAGAGTGACAGAGACAGACACAACTGGATGTCCTTGGTTAAAGTGCATATGTGTGTGTTTGCAGGCACATGCGATTGTGTGTTTTTGTGTACATGTGTTTGCTTGTGTTGCATGTGTGCGTGTATGTTTGCATATCTATGTTCATATGTATGTGAATCTTCTGCTTATATGTATGGTGTTCATGTGTACTCATGTATGTGCATGTTTGTGTGTGTGTGTGTGTGCGCGCGCGCGTGCGCGCGCGCACTTTGGAAAGAACTGTGGTGACATTTAACCTCCTTAAATCATACATATTGGATTATTTTTACATTTTCACACCTTTGCCATTTTGTGTGTGCATGTATGCCACAGTGCACATGCAGAGGTCAGTTCTTTCTTTCCTCCACACGGGTCTGGGAAGAGAACTCAGGTCACCATGCTGGGCAGCAGGTGCTTTCATCCAACGATCCATCTCACCAGCATGTATGTTATTTAATTTATTCATTTCCCTTTGGTTTTTCTCATCACACCCCTGGCCTTCACCCCTGATCTTAGACTATATATTTATTTCAGAAAAACTTTATCAATTCACGTGACTCAGTTTTACTGATTTGTTCTCTTATTTCTCTCAGGGGAGAAGAATCAGTAGCAGCCCATGAGTATCCCAGTTTCAGGCCCATAGCCACATCCACGGCATTGGGTTTCCTCACACTGGAAGCTCCTCCCGGGATGATGGCACCTGCCTGCCACAGGCTTTCTTACAGCTCTCTGTGCTCTCCCACCCACGATTCCTCCTGCCTCCTCTTCCAGAAACCATTCCCACCTAAACTCCAACACATACCTGACTCCTGGGGCACTCCCTAACTTCTGAGAATAAAGTCAAACTAGGGCTGAGGAGAGGTTTAATGGGTAAAGCATTGCTGTGAGTGAACCCGTGGAAAGGCCAGACATGGTAAGGTGAATTCTACAGCAAAATAGAAGGTGAAGACGGGAACTCCCAGAGGCTCTGGGGCCAGCTAGCATGGCAGACACAAAGGCAAAGAGACCCTTCCTCGAACAGGGTGGAACTGGAGAATCAACATCTGAGGTTGTCCCCTGGCTAGCGTCATGACATGTGTACACCCACACTCCCCTGTGCAAACATGCTCACGCTCACACATACCTCATACACATACACGTGTGCAAGTATACATACACACCCGCCTGAAAATATAAGAATAAATTCAAACCAGTTTTACCCATCTTTTGACAGATGCTCTCTCACACCAGGACACTCGTAGATGTCAACTTCAGATGATGAGAACCCTTTAACTCTCTGGGTCTCACAAGGTGATTTCCCTCGCACAGTATCTCTATCTCCAGTGCTGTCAGCAGGCTGGACTGCCAACCCTCTGCCAGTTTTGCGCTCCAGAGGAGGCACACAAGAGGAAGAGAGGCATGAGGCCTGCAGAAACCGGCTATGTAAGGAAGGAGGCATGTGCACTAGTTTCCTGTTTCTTTGTTTTAATGCAAGACTAGGACTGGATGAACTTATACAGACTCCACAGCTAGTATTTTGGTATATAATCAACAGCTATGCACGCATGGAGCCCTTCACATAACTTGATCTTTCCTTTATGCTTAAACTCAGGGAACATGGTTGCCTTAGGGATTCCATTGCTGCGATGAGACACCATGACCAAAGCAGCTCTTAGAAGGAAAACATTTCATTGAGGGGGCTTGCTTACAGTTTCAGAGGTTCAGTCCATTATCATCATAGCAGGGAGCATGGCAGCATGCAGGCAAACGCGGAGGAGTAGCTGAGAGTCCTACATCTTGCAGGCAACAGGAAGTCAACTGAGACACTGGGTGATATCCTGAGCATAGGAAGCCTCAAAGCCCACCCCCCACAGTGCCACACTTCCTTCAGCAAGACCATCCCCATTCCAACAAAGCCGCACCTCCTAATAAGGCCACTCCCTATGAGATTACGGGGACCAATTACATTCAAACTATCACAATGGTCAATTTGGTGGAAAGAATAGAGGGAATGGAAGAGGAAGAAGAGGAGGGGGAAGAGGAGAAGAGAAAAGGAGAGAACGAGATGGAAGAAGATGGAAGACGGAGGGAGAGGGGAAAGTGAAAGGAAGTTGATGACAAGGTTTGGTGATACCTGGTACCAAACGAGCAGCCACAGGAGAGCTGACTCATTTTCCTCTCGTTGTCTTGTGGTCTTGAGGGCCCACTTTTGTGGTGGACAGCAGGAGCTCAATTCCCTCCATAACGCAGAAGGAGGAACTGGGTTTCTGAGACTTTGGCTTAAAATCAACCAGTTTTCAAAGGTATGGTTTATGTGAGAGAAATCTGACCCACTTCACGATCTGACAGACGGAGAATACCATGGGGCTTCAGGAAATTCCCCAAGCCCTACTCTGATCTGATGTCTGCTCCAGATAAAGCAGAACCACATAGGTGAGGGCTTCACGCCCTTCGTCTTGCAGTGAGAGCAATGTTTCTGCCACTTACTCGAAGTCTTAGTGTTCTATTGCCGTGAAGAGGCACCATGACTAAGACAACTCTTAACAGAAGAAAACATCTCACTAGGGTCTTTCTTAAAATTTCAGAAGGTTAGTCCATTATCATCTTGGTGGGAAGCATGGTAACATACAGGCAGACATGGTGCTGGAGAGGTAGCTAAGGGCTGCGTTGGCAAAAGAAGGCAGAGAGAGACAGAGACAGAGAGAGAGAGAGAGAGAGACAGAGAGAGGCAGACAGAGAGAGACAGAGACAGAGAGAGAGACACAGAGAGAGAGACAGAGACAGACATAGAGAGAGACAGAGACCGACAGAGACAGACAGACAGAGAGAGAGAAAGAGAGAGAGACAGAGAGAGAGAGAGACAGACAGAGAGAGACAGACAGACAGACAGAGACAGAGAGAGAGAGAGGGAGACAGAGAGACAGAGAGAGACAGAGACAGAGAGAGAAAGAGACAGAGACAGACAGACAGAGAGAGAGAAAGAGAGAGAGAGAGACAGAGAGACAGTGACAGAGAGAGACAGAGACAGAGAGAGACAGAGAGACAGAGAGAGACAGAGAGAGACAGACTGACAGACAGACAAAGACAGAGACTGGGCCTCGTCTGGGCTTTTGAAACCTCAAAGCCTACCCCCAGCAACACATCTCCTCCAAATTGGACACACCCACTCCAACAAGGCCACACCTCCTAACCCTTCCAAACAGTTCATCAGCTGGGGACTGAGCATGTAAACCTATGAACCTGCGGGGGCCATTCTCATTCAGACCACCACACTCACCCCATGTGAGCATCTGAGGCCTCTGTGTCTCTCCTGAGGGCTTTCCTGATCGGCATGCCAGTTTACACATTCCTCGGCTTGAGACGACTTTTGTCTCTGATATGATTTTTATCTGTGTTTGTTCTCTCAGAAACATATGGTATCTCTCATCTCCAGGGGTGGAACGGTTGGTCCTACGAAGTGCCTGCCCAGCCTTAGAAGAAACTGTCAAACTACTTCCCCAAACAACTAGACCGTTTTGTATTCCTGCCTAGATTCAGGTGGCTGTAGCAAACAAATGAGGGACTAAAACACCCAGCTGGAAAACCTGGCATTTCCACACAGTGCTGGTCAGGGAAGTAAGTACGGCACAGCCACCGTGACTCACAGCTTGGTGGGTCCTCAGTAGCTTAAATACAGAATGACCATGTGACCCCCAAACCCTACTACTGGGTGCATACCTATGCAAAAGTATCGAAAAGAGTGCTTAACAAAAGTTCGTGCGTTCATTCTTGGCAGCACCATTCAGAAGCACCCAATCACAGCAAGTGTTCACAGGCCCACAGACAGAGGAATGGGTCAACAAAATGTGGCATAACTATGCAACGGGATGCTATCGAGCCATGGAAAGGGATAAGGGACCAGCACAGGCTATAATGAGAGCACAGGCTATAATTGAACCTTGAAAACCATGTATTCAATGAAAGAAGTCAGACTCAAGAGCCCACAGACATACATGTAACTGTATGCCTTCATATGTGTGGAAGATCCCAGGTAGATAACAACTCCGTGGGGAGAGTAAGCAGGTGGTGGGTGCCAGGAGCTGGAGGAGGTGGCCTCTCAGTCAGGCCTCCGGCTTTCTGTGTTTTATGACCCTCGGAGTAGCTGGCAGAGTCAAGGAGGCACTGTCCTTTAGAGCGGTAACTCCTGGAGACAGGAAATAGCTTGCCTCACAGCACCCTCCGTGTGGAGGACTTGATATTTTCTTTATGCCCAAATGTAGGAAAAATGGTCAGTTAAGTGAAGGGGGAAGACAAGGAATAGGAGGAGGAGAGGGGAGGGGCAGAGACTTGGTCCCCTGCATTATCCCAGGGTCCTGCTGTCCCTAGCACACAGCCAGGACCACCCTACAGACAAGAGCCTGCTGGGACTAAGCCTTCAGCCTGCTCAGTCACCTTCCTTGTTTGTCTTTATCCGGAAAAAACACAGTCCAGGGCTGCTTTAGTTGTGGTGTTTGTAATTTTTTGCATTTATTGATTCTACCTTGGGTATCATAGGCTTCTCCAATCTTTATTTGGTTGTTTGTTTGTCTTTAATTTTGATTAAGCATAAGCTATGGTCCCACAAATCTCTCTCTCTCTCTCTCTCTCTCTCTCTCTCTCTCTCTGTGTGTGTGTGTGTGTGTGTGTGTATGTGTGTGTGTGTATCTCTTTGTCAGTCTGTCTGTCTCTCTCCTTCCTCTTCTGCTCTTGAGACTAAAAAGACAGGCAGGGAAGTGTTTGACAGTGTCCTCGGTCCGTTATTTACATTGATTCAACTTCAAGTTGAGCCGCTCACCCCCATCTCTGAGGTGCTCAGCTTCTGATATACTTGTCAGGGTAGTTCACTGCTGATTAGAAACACAATTCTTGCATTCTGATCTCCACCCCTGCATGTAGTATTTATTTCTCTGGAAGACCTTATCTGTCATGCATTTCGTCTCTCTTGTCCTCTGCCCTCTGTTATGCTGTGGTGTGCTGTGCCCCGTCTGCTGGTGATACATGGTGCCAGCTCCGGCTAGGATTCCTCTGATGACTCTCTCTCTTTTTCTGGTTTTTGAGACAGGGTTTCTCTGTAGCTTTGGAGCCTGTCCTGGAACTAGCTCTTGTAGACCAGGCTGGCCTCGAACTCACAGCGATCTGCCTGCCTCTGTCTCCTGAGTGTTGGGATTAGAGGCATACAACCCCACCACCCAGCTCTGATGACTCTCCTGATGGTTCGTCTGTTATAGATTCTCGGCACTTTGTAGCTTGCTTACTGAACGAAAGCTACCACACCCCTTGAAAGCACGCGTTTCTTCTGACAGGCTGTTGGTATGGATGCTGAGTTGATCTACTGAGAGTCCCCTGCACCTCTCTCTGTAGACACTGGCTCCATGTTTCTGCTCTGAAAGACAGCTACTGCCCAGGTTGACTTGGGGCCTAGATGTCCTATGGCTTTACTTGCTCCGTGTTTCTGCTGCACCTCAGCTCTCAGTTTGTCTTATCCACTGTCTGTGTGAGGTGATGTCTCAAGTTCTGGGCTCTCTTGTTCTTCCGTGCGAACACAAAAGCCCATCACTAAGAACTGAACTACTCCCACCACTGTGCCCTTCCCACCTTGGTGAACACTGCTCTGTGAAACCAAAAGCCCAAACAAATCCTCCCTTAAGTTGATTCTTTTCTGTATTTTGTCTGAGCGATGAGAAAAATACCACACACAGTGATGCCTTAAGTGAGAATGGCTGTCACAGGTTCATATGTTAGTCCCCAGTTAGTGGAACAGTTTGAAAAGGATTAGGTGGTGTGGCCTTGCTGGAGGAGGCATGGCCTTGTTGTAGGAGATGTGGCCTTGCTGGAGGGGGCGTGGCCTTGTTGGAGAAGGTGTGGCCTTGTTGGAGGAGGTGTGGCCTTGCTGGAGAAGGTGTGGCCTTGTAGGAGGCATGACCTTATTGGAGGAGGCGTGGCCTTGTCTTGCTGGAGGAGGTGTGGCCTTGTTGGTGGCATGCCCCTGGGGTTGGGCTTTGAGGTTTCAGAAGGCCCAGCGTCTCCTTCGTCTCCTTCTTCGTCTGCCACCTGTGAGGATGTAAGCTCTTAGCTTCTCTCTCACCACTCCTGCATGCTGCCATGACAATAACGGACTAACCCTCTGAAGTGGTAAGCAAGTCCCCAATTAAATGTTTTCTTCTTTAAGTTGCACTGGTCATGGTGGGTCCTCACAGTTCATATGCACCACACCTGGCCTCTCCTGGTCACTGGGTGCTGGTGGCGCCTTGACACGCAGCCACCTCCCTCTCCTCTCTGCCTGTGTCTTCACACCACCTTCCCCTTGGGTTTGTCTCCTCTGCAGCTCCTACCAGGGCAGAGGTCATCCCATTTTTGTAACCACTTAAATAATTCATGAGATCTCCTCACTTGAGGCTCTTTAGTCACACGGTGTGTGCAACAGCCTTTTATTCAGCTAGAGTAACTGGGGATTGGGATATGGATGGACCTTTGGGGATGACCATTCCACCCTGAACACTAGACTTTGCAACTTCAAGTTCAGCTGTGGACTGATATGGTTCCCGCTCTTCTTTCTGCTTTGCCAAAGAACCAGCCCGTGTTCCACTGCACCCCTCCCGGAGCCTGGCACTACGGGTAATTTGGCTCCCCTGATAGCCATGTGTCATCAGCTCTGCATGGGACTTGAGAGAAATTGCCATCTTGAAGATTTTGAGGATTCTACTTGCAGACATCACCCCACAGGGTCTATGAGTCACACATTCTGGTGTGGGTATAATAGAGTCCCCTCTTCACTCTCGGGGACATTTTTGGACAATAAGCTGGATTTCCTTATACCTGGAGTCAGTGCCTGGCACGTGCTGGAGATTCTGGGTGTAGGATCTGCCTCTGGGCTCCTTCCTATGCTCACCTACCTCTCGTGTGTTTTATAGGGAACAATGGCTGCTGAGCTCCTTGATAGCGACTCATCCTCATCAGTCACTGTCTGGTCACCGAAGTGGTCCTGGGGCTGGCTGATCCAGGGACCTGGGTATGAAAGGCCCAGTCATTATGGGAACAGCGGAGAGACAGAGATTTTCCAGAGTGTGTCTAGACTGGGACAGCTGGCCAAAGTCCACACATCTCCCTGTTTATTTGAGACCCTGTTTATTTGGACCCAAGTATGTGGAGGCTGGACAGTGACTTTAATTTGGAGCCCAGGAGCCACAGGTGTGCCTTTTTCCCTCCAGGTGGAGGGGCGACATGGGCTGGCTGGTTTCTGATTGCCTTTCACCCTTGGCTTCTGAGCACACTTTATCTTTTGGGGTCATGGACATATTTATACCTAGTGTATCCTGCTTTGGCTCTCTCTCCTTTTATTTGACAGAGCTGTCTCTTCCTGGAGGGAATTGGTCCCACAGCCCTGAGCATCTGGGGACTGCATCGCCACATGGAGGATATACGCACAATGGCCACTTGCTCTCCATTTCACTCTGCCTCTTGCATCTCCACCACTCCTGACTCAAGAGGTCCAGTGAGGACCAGGGTCTGAAGGATGTAGGCAGCCAGACTGTGCACTTTCCAACTGTTCAAAACTGACACACTGTGACCCGCCACTTCGCCTGTCTCCATCTCCCTTCATGAGGCCGTTTCTTTTGGAAAAGGAAGACAAAGATGGACATTTAGGCCTCACCGATCTCACTTTGGTGACAAGTGTCCATGGAGTTGTGATCTTGTGACTCAACACTTTCTAGCCTTGGTTCTATAAACAGGGGTGACTGTAGGGCACACCAGCAAGCTTTCCTGACGACTGAGATGGTGGACAAGGAGGGACCTTATGACTTGGGTCTTCCAGGCTTCCTCTAACATCCCTCTCTTTCCCAGTGACTCGGGAGTGGCCTGTGGGGACAGAACTTCAGTTCTGCAATCTCCCTCCTCTCAGGAACTTCAGCTTAGACAATGCTCCTGGGGAGGCAGAACAAGGTTCCCCTAAGATCCCCAGAGCCTATGAACATACAGCCTTGCATGGAAAGAGGTCTCTTTGTATATGGATGAGGGTCTTGAGGTGGGGGAGGATGGAGAGCTGAGCTCAAAGAGGAGCTATGGCGCCCAGGAATAGATGGACGTGGCCTAGCGCTTCCCAACCCCCCCCCCCCCCCCCCCCTGGAGAGCCAGCACTGATAAGAGACTGTCACAGCTCTCTACCCCACCATGAAGCCAGTCCACACCGCTATGGGAGGACACTACACAGCAGCCGTCTGGCCAGCTGCCCCCAGTGAGCACAAGGCACAGCGCCCAGGCTTGGGATGTGGTGCCCTCATGATGCTTCTCTCTGCTTTCCGAAATTAAGCCCGGCTGTGCAGCCGTGTGCAC